TGCTGCTTATAGGCTGTGTCTTGTCTGTGGATAAGGTTGGTGTTAGAACTGAAGGTAACTTCATGTCTGTGAGCACAGGCTGGGGAGAAATTCCTCATTGCAATTTCATGTTTATCCATCATAACCCAGTTAATTGCAGACTGTCCCTAAAATATGCTGCACTGAATTTTGCAGTGTTTCAATCATCTTTCAGATCTGGGTCACACTGATGGCACAGGTGGTTTCAAATATAAATACAGGCCGTCACATGGATGGGACATATACTCCTGGCAAAACCGAGAGCTTTACCTATGTTTTTCTGTTTGAGAAGTGATTCAGAAACAATCAAATTGGTTCTGTCTCTGTGTGGCAGATTGCACTTGAGCATGCAGCAGCCTCCTAGCCAGCAGAAAGCTGGGCTAAATCACCCACTGGAAGTACAAGCTTGCTTTAGCATTTAACACTTCCTTAGCATTGAACAGTGAAACTCAGCAAAACGTCAGCTTTTATTTTTGCTTTGTCCTAGGCTCAAAGGCTCCCAAGGCTCAAAAGATTGCAAATGCCTCTGGGTACCAAAGCTTCAAATCCAATGTAGCCTGGCTATTATTCCCTTCAGCATGGGCAGCTACAGAGATGGGGTGAATGCTCCACATCTAGATAATTTAAAACCCATATTTAGCATTAATTCTGTTGGTTTGGAAAGCAGGCAGCTGACAACACAGGGCAATGCAATGCCCTGGGCTGCTGCTGGACTTGCACATGGTAAGAGACCATCATGTGTGCGTGCTGGAATGGGAGGGGTTCAGGTGAGATTAATGAATGGGCAGAAGAACCTGCTCTGAGGGAAAGGTCTTGCCAAGATTCACGCAGGCAGTGGCATCAGAAAGGTGCTGCATGTGGCACATTACAATGGACACACTAAAAGTCTTCCTATTCCCTTATTCTACCATGCAGGCTGAGTTACTGTGAAAATTATGTTCCCTGCATGAAGTGACAGAATAAAATGCTGTTTGGTTTAAACCAGTTCCTGCATGTGAATATAAATTAAATCTGTTCTCCTTCAAATTTATTTTGTTCTGCTGCTTTTATCTTTGTGGAAGTTTTCTTTGGTGACTGCTCTGTTGTTGTCAGCCTCACCCTTAAAGGTGGAAATCATGAACCCTTTTGAAGTTACAAGCTCTAGGAACATGTCCTAGAGGCAACATGGAGTTACAGAACCCAAATCAGAGTGCACTGGTACACTGGCTTTTCCTGCCCTCCTCTGTGCAATTATTTAGGGGAAAGTTCTCTAGGCCAGAGAAACTATATTCATAACATTCACTATTTAAGGCTCTCACTTGGATTCTTTCCTTGCAGTGAGAACTGACATACTGTCAAAGTTGACAGCACTATGCCAGTTTATTGCACCAGAAGACCTGGCTTTTCCTTTCCTCCCATCTGCAGAGCTTGGCTGCTCCCATTATATGAAGCCTTTCTCACTCCTGCCCCTAATAAAATCTCCATGCTTCACATGCTCCCTCAGCCTCCCTTTGATTCGTGCTCCCAGAGTCTTCCTCGCTGCTGACGTCGGGAGCCTGCACAGCTCTGTAATTTCCCGACAGCCCTTTTCAAACACTGCCTTTTAATCAGGTGCTGTGTTTTACCAGCACTTCCTTCTCTCACTGAACACCTTTGAAGCAAGGCTGCCAACCCTGGTGGGGTTCCTTCTCCACTACCCTTTTCTGTTGTTTCCATACAGAATTCTAGGACGGAATTTTGTAGCTTTTTAGATGCTCTGATTTTTTATAATTTTTTTTTCTGTGTTGTGATCCTAATTTCCTGCAGGATTTCTTCTTCCTCTCCTGGGAAATTTGTCTCTATTTCTGGCATCTGTCCTTCCTAACCCTTCCCACATTTCTTTCCTTCTAAAGACAGGGGAAAAGAATCCATTTAATATTTTTCTGTAGTAACGTCTATCTCATCTGTCAATAAATTACCCTTTGCCATCTCTGGGAGACCCCTTTGTCTCCCTTCACTGACCTTATTCTGTACCTTGCCTGGTTTTTTTTTTAAGGGAGGATGCAATATCCCTGGGCTGTCATTCCATGAAGAACAGCTGTCATTCCTCCCATAGTGTATGCGAATGTGTTTAAGGAGGGAGGGGAAAGGGAGGGGGGAATTAGGGGACGATGGGGTTCTGCTGTTGGGAAATATGATGGTCCTATTCAGAGTGGTAAATGTTTTTCATTCATGATATTCCACTGCAATTCTGTCTTTTTCTTCAGTGGTTTTAGACATTAATTTTCTTATTAATCTAACACTCATCTATCTGATATAAAACTACAAGAGTATTTATTAAACATATTTTTTTAACTCATTGTGTATGCATTTTATAAATGTCTAATTTCTGCACAGCCTGTGCAACTGTGAATGCTATCTCACTGTCAGAGCTGCAGTCTAATATTACAGAGGTGGATTCAGAAAGCATTCTCTGTGGCTTAAAAACATGCCTTTGCCATATATTTTCGGTGTTACAAACTGAAATGCTCACTGAGAGGGTTAAAGAACATGGTATAGTCCTGCATGTAACTAGCTAGCTGTGCAGACCTGCAGAAGGAAGAGACAGATCCATGAATCCAGCAATTCCTGCCCTGTTCTTATTCTTCCTTGTGTTTTTGAAGCACTGCAGCCTCCCAAATAACTCATCACAGAGCATTCCCTGCATTTCTCATGGTCCAAAGGCTTTGTGCATAGCACAGGTACAAGTTCCCTTCTACCTGCTTCCACACACAATCTAGCCATAAATTAGTACAGTTTGAAAAAGCAAATACTAGTTTTAATCAAATTCTACCAATGTATTTTAAGAAATAAAGGAAGTAAATCCATCAAAGATGCTCTCACCTCTGTACCTTCTGGCAATTACACTTCTTAATGCATTTATTTTCACAATATGGGTGTCAAATAAGGAAATGCAGTTATTATCTATCGTGTGCATAGAAACACACCAAAGCGACCTCAAGGCACAAGATACAACACATACTGGGGCCCTTATTCTCTAAATACCTGAGTCAAAAACCTGGTGAAACACATTGTGAGTCTTGTTTGATCCAGCCTTGGGGCTTTCTTTGTATGGAAACCAGCAGCAGGCACCATGCTTGTGTCACAGGCCAGGTCCAGACATGGGCTCTGGACCTGTGAGCTCAGAGGCGTTCTGAAGGCTCAGATAAGCAACACGAGAGAGGGACTGAACAACTTAAGACAAAGTCAAAAAGAATGTCTAGATACAACATACATGCCAAGCTCCTCACTTCCTTGTCCTGTGCTAGCAGGACATCAGCAGAACATATTTTCTCTTAAAAGCACTATAGTAGTTGTTTTACAACTGTTTTGTGATTGATGTCCACTCTGGCCCTTTCTCTTTCATCTGATGGCACTGGCAGTCACTGCTTGATGTAGCCATCCCAACTGAAAAGGTAACCCATCTCCACAGCTAGAAGTAATAAATACTTTAGCCACCACAGCAAAATTCATTGATATAATCTTGAATTAAATCACTCATGTCTGCAGCCCTCAGTCCAGGATATCACAGTAAATTGGTATCAGCTGAAATCAGATTTACATTAGTAAATGTATCAGGCTATGAGCTGAACAGTTTGCACTGGCCACACCACTCATTCAGCCATCTCTTATTTGGGATAACTACTTCCAGCACCTTAGTAATGCAGCCAGTTGAACAGTGATATCAAACTTCTCCAGGAGGAATCCCTGGGGCTTGGGAACCAGGGACTTTACTTCCCTAGAAACAATCTGTGCCGTCAAGGACTAAGGCTCTGTCTGCATACGGAAATTGAGTTTTCAAATGTATTCAAATGTTGGTAATACCAACCCTGCTCCAGCACAAGGAAGAAGGTGTGGAGTCTATTGAAGAATGGCTCTTGGCTACTGCCATCTTCAGGACTATCCCATGTTAATTATTCAGATCTCTTGTAAAAAGACACCTGTGGCAACTGGCAGAGTATCTGCACGAACATTAGCAGCCTTGAGGCTGAGAAATTGTTAAATAACCTTAGTAATAGAATATTAAAACCTTGATGATGAGCAAGCTAGCGTGGGTGGAATAATTGTCTGCTCAGAAAGAGGTGCCTTTTTCTCATTCTGTTCCTGTTGTTGAATCCTTATCTCCTGGATAAATAAAAACAAACTCCCCAGTTATTGTTCTCGTTCACCTTTTGACTCTTGATTAGATTTACTGCAGATACATCCCTTTGACAATGAAAATGGAATCAACACATTTCTGATGCACTCCCGTGAAATTCTCATCCCCTACTCCACCCTCAGACCACCAAGGTCCTCGTTTTCTGAATGGCAGTTAATTACCTGTCCTTCTAGCACATGGATGAGATACAACTTTCAGAGAGATCACTTGCCCTGATTAACAGACTGTTCTGTTTCACTTTGAATCTTTATCTTATTTTTAATCCTCAGCACTTGGAGCCAAACCTGATACCTTTCTGAAGAGAGAAGCTCAGGGTGACACAAGCTGCCTTGCTCGGGCTGCTTCTTCTTTCTATATTTTTCAGTGTTTTCCCAGATGAGGCCCCAGGATTATTGCAAACGAGTCCCAGGAAGAAATGCTGCTCAATTAGGCGAAAAGAAACTCGAAGGAAAAAAGGAGTAGAGCCAGCAAATTGCTTGAGATAACAATCTCCCCCCACCCGTGTGTCTCTGTAACTAAGAGGATTAGCTGAACTTTCTGTGTCACACCAAAACTGACAATAAGCAACAGTGACTTCCCCCCGCTGGCACTTGTACCTTCACATGTTTCATTTTCTTGCCCACACTACTGCCTTGCCCCTTGCTGATTGTATGACAAACTTGGGGATGAACATGATGGCTCTTTCCTTTCCTTTAAGATTTATGACTCAAAGCCAAATAAAACCCAACTCAAGTTATTACATGCTCTGTTTCCTCCTAACAACAGCTCACTTTTAACAGTGTAAGCTAAGCAAGGAAACATGGAAATATGGTCTCCTTGATCTCACCTGATCTATCTGCTGCTAGAGATGCAAACAGCAGCCTCAGGTCTGCCAACACAGGAGCAGGCATAAAGATATCCCTTGGGAGCAGGACCAAATGTCTGGAATATATAAAGAAGTCCCATCAAAATTCAAAGTAACTGGGGTTCTGTGTAGATACAGCACTGCCAGCAAGGAGTGGGATGTTTATTTCAAGTTAAGATTTATCATTCTGTGGTAGGAGGACTACCTAGGGTAGTCTTGCAGTGAAAGGAAATAAACTTTGTTAAAAACTCTGTCACCAGCTATGGAATCAGCCCCATATTCCTCTGACAATGGCGTACATATGATGAAAAGAATATGGCTTGTGGCTGAAGATGATAAAACATAAAATAATTCCAGTTTCTAAAGCAAACTAACTCCTTTTGCTGACTTGTGTAGAACATCACTCTAAACCTGGTGAACAACTCCTTTCCCTGAGCTTGCCAGAGAATGTGTACAGACAGACGAAGTTCTATGAGACAAGGCAAAGGAAGAGCATTCTCCCAGCCTGCACATGCTCCCTGCCTTCTCTTCCCTGAGCTTCCACAGAAGACCACAGCAGAAGGTGGTGAAAAATCTGAAAGATTAATGTCTCTGATACCTGAAGGGCTCCACACAGGCACACTGACTAAGTAAGCACCTGTGCCGCAGTGAAGAAGAAAGTTGAAAGCAAGAAGGAGACAGGAGAATGAGAAATGATTTCACACTGATGTAAAGCAGATACCAACACACAAAAAGGGAATATTGTCATAAAATTAGTTGGGATGTGGGACTCAGGTGAGCACCACCAGTGTAAGGATTGAAGGGAAATGCTGACACAGCAAAATCTGTAGGCAGTGTTAGGGTTGGGTCATAAAATGCATGGGACTTGCCAGTTCTTGTAAAGCATTTTACTGAACTAGGCATCTGTGTTGTGTGCCCTCTCATTGCTACACAACTCTCTGGACCTAAATTAAATCACTATGGCACTTCTGCCATGTTAAACGGTCCGAGCAGGTACTCTCAGGCCACATAAATTCAGTGAAGTAGTGTTTTGGGTGTCTCTGTACAGCTTTATTTGTGATCAAAGGGTATGGTGTTGTGGGGGAGAAATACTTCCAGACAGATTTAGACTTTTACTCCAAAAATCTGTTCAGGCTGAGGCATTGTAAAAACTGCCCGGTGTATTGCCATGGGGCAAGACTGACTTGTCACTCTGTAGCAACCCCTGTCTCGCCTATATGGAGCAGCAGTTTTAGTTCAAAGGGATCCAGGTCCATTCTCTTTCCCCATTTACATGAAATGGGACTAGAGTGGAGCGTGGCAGCCTATTAACAGTGCCCCACAGCACTGCAAGAGTTCTGCCTAGAGAGTGAAGGACACCGTGTCCAATTGAAATTACAGAGGAATTTGGGGTAGGCAGAATGTAATTACACAATTGGAATTTAAACTGTGAAATTAAAAGGAAATATTCAAGGATGAAGGGGCAGAGAGAATCCCTAATCTCCAGCCAGGCTAGGCTGTGTGACAGAAAAGTCCCTTTCTGAAGAGGGAATAAGCAAAGAGCTGTCCTGGAAGAAAGGAAGGTAGAGAATAAAGACAATGTTTTCAAAAGCACCCTAACTCCAGCTGTGTGTTTGTTTCATAGGCTATGTCTATTCTACAGAAAACCTTGCGTTTGCTAAAAGGCATCAGATGTGTCCCTCTTGGCCCCCTCTTCACTGAGGTCAAAAACAATTTGGTTCCTCATGTAAGCAGCACCAAAGTATTCCCAAGGTCTACAGCAGAAAGCGTGCTGTACAACTGGTCAAAAAAAGGAGTTCAGCCCTGGTTTTCGTATAGGTACAAACTAGAATTTGCCCTTCTGCCTGAGTTTTTCACACTGCTGGCACTCTTGCTTTAGTATCTGAGCTTTTCCCAAGTCTTAGTTAGTAATCATCCTAACAAAAAACAGGTATTTTTAAGGGTTTTGCTGTAGCAAGGGGAGGAAGAGAAAAAACACTGAAAGCAGATCTGTGATAGTTTTGAGTGGCAACTTGAATCAGGCAATTGCAAATCCCACTCCTTAGAGATCTGAATCAAGTTGTAGGACCTCATAGTTGTCCCTCTCAGAGCAGAGAAACAGGTAAAGATGCAGCCAGCCTTGTGGGTCTCTGGGAGAGGAACAATAACTGCTGAATAGGGTCCTTCAATCAAGGCACAACCGAGATAACTGGGGGCTCTTCTTCTTGGGCTGCTCAGCTAAACATGCAACCAAAGAAAAGTTTCTTAATTTCTCTGCTTTAGTTTACCATTGTTAAAGAAGTACAGCAATAATTTCCTGTATTTTCAAAGCTGGTGATTTGTAAGATGTAACTGGTTAAAATCGGAAGGTTCAGAAGCTGCACTGATGACAACTATTGAAATGCATACAAAAAACTAAGCTAGAGCTAAAGTAAGTACAGGCAAAGCAGCAGAGAGGGAGAAATAGATTGAAAAAGCCACCTGAAAAGATAAGTGTCCTTTTAGTAATTACCTCTCCCTTTCCTGAGGATGTGTGAAGGTTCTGAATTACAGGGTTTTTTAAAAAATATGAAAATGGAAAACATGCTTCTTTTTGTCCATGCTCCATTTCTTATCTCCAAAAAAGCAGTTAGCTGCACTTGGGAGGGGCAGAGTATTATGAGATGGTACAACTTTCCTGCTATAATTTTATTATCTTTAAGATTCAGAGGAGCGGCAACAACTCTCAAAAATAACAGATTCAGGGTCATCCTTTCTTCAGTCCAGAGACAACAGAATAGGTCAGAACTGAAGGCAGAAAGCAATCTGGTCAAAGGCAGCCAGAGGAGTGTGCAAGGGGAAAAAAATCAGCCAATATATGCAGTGGACAGTCTCCATTTCTCTTCTGCTGTTCGTGCTCAGCACTCACAAGGTGCGTAGGAGGGAGATCTGAAGAGGGGGGAAAGTATAATAATGGAATGAGACAGTACTGGTGGGTCCCAAGCCTTGGGGATAAGGGTGGACTCTTTTCCATGCTTGGGAACAGGAGGAGGGCGGGGAGCAGTGCAGGAGAGAAAGGAAAAACAGCTTTGTGGTACTGAACTGCATAGCCTCCGAGCATCTAGGTGCAAGTCTGTGTCCCACTAATGTCGGCTGTGACACTGGAGGGACTATGCATAGTCTTTATGTTGCTTTTCTTCACTTCTCCTCAATCAAGAAGGTACTAATCCCATTTTCCCCTCGTTTTTTCCCTGCCAGCTCCCTAAATTGCAAGCTTTTTAAGACACAGTGTCTTTTGCTATCAATAGTGTGTTCAAAAAATAACACTGTAGCAGGGAGGCTGCCGGTTCCTATGTCAGGTTGCATATGACGATGAGAAATAGGAAACAGACAGAAACACACAGATAAGTTTAATTAAATGTGAGACGATCTGCGCAGTCCCCAAGTGAAAGGAATACAGAGGTTTCTGAGGACGTATGTATGAAAACACAAGGGGCAAAGAATGACTGTTTTGAGGCAGAAGCTTCTAATTATCTGTATGACCAAAGGGAAAGCAGAAGTATACGTGACTCTAGTAACAGGCCCTTCTGTAGGAGAGAAATCTTATGTGAAGAAAACAGGATAGAGAGAAGGGGGACATTGTGTGAGAAAAGCAGCATCTGGGATTCACATCTGAGTGGCACGGTGGAATTGGAGCAGAGCAGATAAGTTTGCTCTTAATTTCGCTATACACTGGAGCTGTTTCATGAAAAGGATAATTTCCTTCCCTATGTGCTTTTTGCTTAAATACTGTGATTTGTGTTTCTTTTGCTCCCTGCCTTCCCACCTCATGTTTCTTTTGTCCTCTGCCTCCCTACCTTAAAAAAAAATTGTCTGTGAAACACTACTGAATTAATTCTAGCAGGAGATAGAAAATTCAGAAGGTCACATAGCGATCATAGAAAATTTGGGGTTATGGGCACAAGTCAAGCAGGCCAATTAGGGTTAGGAATTAAGAGGTATCTGGTTCGACATCAAAACAATGGACGCAGACATGCTGCAGAGCTTTAAAAGATCCTCAAATACCATTTCTTCCCTTTACATGTGGTGTTGATTTTGAACACTGTATTGTTTTTCACCACCAGAAAATCTTTTTAAAGCAAAATCCCTGTGAGAGGCAATTCTGTGTGGCTGACAAGTCCAGCCAGAGAACAGAATCACAGGGTCCTTCTTGCTGCTTGCTGCTTTGGGCTCTGTTTCAGTGCATACTTCACCACCAGTGTGAGCCCAGTCTCACTGACTGCAGCTGAACAACCAACTTCCTTATGTTGTTTTTTGAAATGAATCCAGGGTGCTCAGCTCCTCACAGGACTAAGCCTTGTATCATCTTTTTGTCCAATTATCTCCAATTTCAAGTATTTCCAGCAAGTTGCTCATGAGTAAGACACCAATCAGGCACTACGTGGCATTCACAATTGAAAGAGAGGTAAAATTTATCTGATAAATTATTCATCACTAATGATTTGGCCAGCTTTCCTGGATATATAGCCACAGGGATGTATGACACCTTGGGGAAGGCATCAGATAGAGATGCATTCAAAGAAAACTAGAGGAGAGGATGCAGACATAGATCCAGACTAATCTTTACAGGGAGAGCGAGAGCACCTATGTGGCTTGACTGAATTAAGTTCTCTTTATAGGTGGTCAATTAGAAAACACAGAGTAGATTAATAACTACCAGAAAATGACAAAAAAGCCACAAACAAAGAAACAAACAAAACCCCCACAAAAATAAAAACACCAAACCACTAGCAACTACTTGTTTTCAGACATCTTTCCTGCGGTAGCTGTGGGTTCCAGCTAAGTGTGCAGAAGCTGAGTGAGAGCAAAGGCTAAATCAGGTGTGGTAATGGGAGCAAATTCTCCCCAGCAAGAAGCTGCTGGGATCAGGAAAGAGGTTACTGGGAAGTGGCATGCCGGACTGAGAGGAGTCTTTGGGTGAGATAGGGAGATACGGGAGAGAATATTCAGCGTAGGCAGGATTAGAGCTGTGCAGAGTCTTAATCTAGGCAGCCCTTTCTCTCCACGTTTATCTGTCCTGGTGCAGCCCCTGCGTGCTGCAGTGCTGGTATAACCTGGCCATAAAACTGGATTAACTGGCCCGCGAGGATCATGGCTGAACTGAAGAGGAGCACGACAATATGCCTTTGTTTACATGTTCGCCCCTGTGAGTGCAACACAGATCTTCAGGAGACAAAGTGCTTAATTGCTGGTTTAGGGTGTCAGCAAATGAATGTGCATGAGTAGGACTGGTGTTAGGGGAAGGTTTTTGCTCTTTCGCACTGCAGTCCATTTCTGCTAGTGTTTTCTGCAATAACAAGAGGTTATTTTATAGGATGTCAAGAAAAAAAAAATCCCATTACCAGAGGACCTTATTTTTAAATAAAAATGACAAAATTACCTTTCTGATTCACCCCTTGCAGATACACCCTGCTGTCTCCCTCATTCAGCCTTTCCTTTTTGGCTCTCTCCTACCCATGAAAAAAATCTAGTGGCTGTCTCTGATACCACTTCTAATTTCTTCAGCAACAGCATGCAAGAACAGATCCCCAACAGCTCCTCTTACTCCACAATGTTTTGCACCCCAGAAGAAAACCTGGCTTGGACTCTGACTCTTGGGAAACGTTAAGACCGAGTCCTTAATGAATGCCATTCTATACCAGCCTCCCTTTCTTCTTTTTCTGGAAGTACATTACAAAGCTCAGGGATAACGTGTATTTACGCAATATTACAATGTGATTAAGTTTTATTTTTGCTCTGCCAAATCCGTCAGGAATTAACAAAGTTTTGCCACTCTGGCTAATTGTTCATCCTGATTTGGAAGCTTTGAATCTCAAGTTAATTTTATTTGCTGGTCCCTCTGGTCTCATATTTACTCCCCTTTAACGAGGGAGACATGAAACCTGACTCCCCTTCCAGGACAATTTGACGCGGGAAGTGTAAGCGGATAAAGTATTTGAGAAAAGCACCCCAGGAGCATTGGGTTGCCCAGAACGAGGGAATGTTAGGGTGGGGTTTTTTGAACAGAGGAGGATCGCTTCTGTGCAATCACTCTTTTCCAGAGGAAAAACAGACCCTCGCTCAGGCACCCTCCTCCATGAGAACCACAGGTTCTGCGATTCCATTTTCCCTGGATGCAAATCCTCTTTATTCACAGGGCTTAGTCCTGCCCAGGGCTCAGGCAGTACCTGGGTGCAGGTGCAGTCCAGACGGGCATTTCCACACCACTCCTCACGGGCACAGCGCCTTCGGAGCGGCCATTCACCAGGAGGCTCCTGACCGGCACCTGTCCCCCACGGATTATTCCAAGCTATAACCCCTCCAAAATCTCCCTACCTGCCCACTACTGATTACCTCAGTTTACCTCAAAATCTTCCTCCTCTTCCCTATAGACTACCTCAGATTTTACCTCCAAAATATTAATTTTGTCCCCGATAATTACCTAGGTGACCCAGCATGAAAATCCAATGGCTACATTTACTTTATCCCCAAATTGTTCATTCTGGACCTAAAGATTCAATCAGATTTTTCCTACAAAATACTTATTTTTCCTTACAGATGACCTCAAGTTTTCCCCCTGGATTTTCCCGTCACTAGTAATTACCTCATTTTTACCTCAATATGTCCATTCTCTCCACTAGAGATCATCTCAAGTTTTAGCCCCACAATTTTCCCTTCCTATCCACTAGTGACAGACAGCTTCGGTTTTACCTCAATATGTCACTTCCCTCCCCTACAGATTAACTCAGATTTTACCCACAAAATTTCCTCTTCCTGCCCACTCCTGATTACCTCAATTTCACCTCAAAATGTTCTTTCTCTCCCCTCCAGTTTTATGCCCCAAACCTTTCCTCCCTGCCCACTACAAATAACCTTGTTTTTATCCTAACACATCCATTCTCTGCATCCTCTCTACCTCAGATTTTTCCCCTTAAACATTCAATTTGTCCCCTGTAAATTACCTAGATTTTACAACCACAAAAAAAAAATAAACCCTAATGACCACGGGGAGGACCTTTTTGGCGGGGGGGGCGGTCGGACCGCCTCGTGCCCTGAGGGGGCGCGCGGGGGGCGCCCCAGTGCGCACGCGCCTCCCCCCATCGCCCGCCGGCGGCTGGAGGGGAGCGAGCCGGTCCGGCCACGCTGCGCATGCGCGGCGCCGCTCCGCGCCCTCGCCGGGAAAGCAGCCGAGGAGAAGGGAGGGGAGGGGGGAGCTCAGAGGCCGGGGCGCATGCGCGGAGCGGCGGCGGCGGCGCGGGCAGGGAGGGAGGAGAGAGGGAGGGGAAGGGGAGGGGGGAGGGTTTATCGCGCGGCCGATTTTTGGTTAAAATATTCAAAATGGCGGACGGAGGAGCAGCGAGTCAAGATGAGAGTTCGGCGGCGGCGGTGGCGGCGGCGGCAGGTAATCATTACTGCGTTTTACATATTCATATTCATACTCGCGCGCGCGGGGCGCACCCCCCCCCCCGCCCGCCCGCCCGGCCCCGCTTAGCATAATTTATTAGTACTCAGGATTATTATAATTAACGGCACAGGAGGGAGCGGGGGGGGGAAGGAGAAGGAGAAGCAGAGCAGCCTCCCCGCGCTGGGGAGACACACACACACACGCACACACCGTCCCTCCCGCACACGGAGCCCGCACGCCGGGGCACCGGCCGTGGGGGCGATGGGCGGCGGCGGCGCGGCGAGGCGGAGGGGTCGGGGCGGGAGGGAGGGGGGACACACACGCCGGGAGGGAGGGGGGAGGCAGCCCCACACCCAAAAGCGTTCGGGGGTGGCTTGGCCGCCACCCGGCCCGCACGCCCACAATAAACCCGCTTTACATATTCATAAGTGGGGGGGGGTTGGGGAAGGGAGGGATGCTGGAGGAGCGATCCCGGCGGGTCGCCCGAGTGGGGCAGGGTCCCCCCGGCGGCGGGGCGGAGGGGGCTGGGGGTGCTGGCCCCTGGCTGGGGCCTGGGGAGGCAGATAGACTCGGTTTCCTTATCGCTCCCCTCGTTGCCCCCCTTCCCCGCAACACCCTCCCCCCCCCAAGCCGGGGTTTATTTCCCCAGAGTCTGGGCCTTGCAGCGTGGGGCGGGTGGGTGCGGGGAGGGGGGCAGGAGGAGAGCGCGGTTCGGCTTTTTCATTTAAAGCTCCCCCCCTCCCCTCGCAAGGGGCGGGTTCGGTGGGGGGTGATTGCGGGGTGCCCCGGCGGAGCCCCCCCGAGCCTTTCTCCGGCGGGAGAGGGACCCCCCGAGGGCTGGGTTTGCCCCCCGCCCCCGAGCGCCGGATCTGCCCCGGCGGCGTTTGCCCCGCTCCCCCTTCGCCCCAGGGCACGGCGGTGCCGGTCCCGTCCCTCTCCCCCGCGCTCTCGCTCTCTTCCCTCTCTCTCCTTCTCATTTGAATAATGTCTAATTCGGGGAGGTTTATATTATTGAAATGGCCGCCCGGCTTTCCCCGCCTCTCATGTTTAGTAATTCAGACCTTTAATAACAGCCACTCAGAGCCCAACGCCGTGTTTATATTTTACATTCGCCCCATGTGCTTTTGTGGTTCAATATGATTCTTCTTTCTCGCTCTCTCGCTTTTTTTTTTAAATTTTCTTGGCAAACCCACAGGGCCCCGAGATCAAACCCAGGCTGTGTGATGAGAGGAGGGGGAGAGCCAGGCCCCGGCTCCTCTGGCAAGCGCCTAGGCCTCACTCTGCTGCTTGATTTATTTACTAATAACCAAAATGACCCCCCCATCTCCACTCCACCCCTGCCAGCAAAAACAAAACCCTCCTGGGGCTTAAGCAGCATCAGATCTGCTCATAGATTCTCAAACACTCATGTCTTTTAAATAAGGAGCTTATTTTTAATTTATAGCAACTCAAGACTGTAAAGCTGTTCCTTTCATATCTGCTTTTCAGAGGCTTGGGCATTTTTGGTCCCTTTGTCCTTGATTCTTTTCCTTAAAGGAGAGTTGCTTCTAATTTACGTTTCCTGGCACTGAGAGGGCTATAGAAGACATACTCAAAATCTAAACAGCTTTCCTCCTCCCTCTGAACACAAACAGAATTGAATACATTGAAGATAATCTTATTCACCTTCTTTTTGCTTAATGTGGATGAGGTCTAACAGTGCACTGTGTCAGATGCTTTTGTCACTGCTTGTATCTTTGACTGTTCTGGGTTGAGGTTTTTTTTTTTTTTCCTCTCTTTCATTTAGGTTTTGCTTTCAAGACAGAAGATACCACTAGGCAGTACAGGGTATAGAAAGGAAGATAAGTTTTCTGTGATTGTGTCATAAGAACACCATGTGAAAATTGAAATTAATCCTCTTAAATTGTCTGGAGTAATTCAGTTTTAAACCAGATATTAGTCTACTTAGAAATAAAACAAATGGGCTGCTTGATTAGAGGGCGGCAGTAATTTAAAATAGAAAATATTTATGCAGGGATGGGTTTCAAATAAAACTGGGTAGGTTTTCATTAGTGACCATTGTTTTCACCCCGTGGAAAGAAAGGACCGAACAGCAGGGTACTTCAGAGTAGCAGTGCCAGATTAGCATGTAAACATCTTTGAAACACTACTAGAAAGAGTGTTCACATGCAAGTGCAGATGGTGTATGTCGTAGTTTGGTTCTAAATTTAATTTGTCACAAAATACTGCACTGCAGCTAATGAAAAGCATTTTGATTTAAAAAATAACAACTCAGATTATTTATCCTTTTTTCTTCAACCTCAGCAAAGACAGGCCTTGAATACAAGAACGAAAAAAAAAGCTGTAGAAGCTGTAATGAGACTGTTCAGGTGACTGACTGTTTCACAGACCAACAGCACAAGGCTGGCTGGACAAAAAGCAGTAATATGATTTCATGCCTTAAATAGCATATGTTTTTGCACTCGCTTCACAAGATGTGGTCAAGCCGATGATGTCATTGGCCAGAGGACAAGGTGCAGTTAATTTGATTTATTGACCTGGGGTGAGGTGTAGCACTGAAACCTTCTCATAGGGAAACCATTTATCTGAGGACAATTTCCTTTATAGCAGCAATTTAACCACTGCTGAGACTGTAGATATTTTATCCAGCATGATAAAAATGTACATTGCATCTTGCAAGCAAAATTTCTTTGTCACTGGCGTTTTAGTAATTTTTATAGAATGGAATACTAGACAGTGGCCTTGTGCAGTCTTACGGCTGAGTTGGGGTTTGTAATACTGAATTCAGGTATTTATATGCCAAAATACAGATGTATTTCTCTCAAACATGTGCCTGTTTTGCAGCTTAAAATTTTACTGGAATGTGCTGGGGATAGAAATGTGTCTTCACCAGTGAAGCCCATAGGTAACATGTTAGCATAATATGCCTTTTCCTAAACCTTGGCATCACCTTCACTTGTCAGAAGGTGCCCTGACTGCTGCGTGGGTATTACTGCTTAGTCTTGAGTGTTTGTCTGAGTGTCAGACTTCTGTGTTAGTTTGTCACAGGTAGGTGTCAGATTTTAAGCTGCTCCTTGGACCATCTTTGTGTGTGTTGGGTCAGAGAATAAAATAAACTTTTTCTTCACTATTGTCAACCTGGCTGTTGTGAGAATGGAGGGTTGTCCTACTGTTACAGTCCTTCCTAATTTTTTTCAGGAGAATATACTCTATTTTGGCTGTCTTTTCAGCTTTTAATATATTAGAGAGAGAAGGAAGTGTCCTCCTGTGAAATGTTCCATCGCCTGATTACATCTACTCAGTTATTAAGGTGATGCTGCATTTTTTGTCTTATCTTTTTTATTTCTTCTCTTTTTCAAAACTGACCAAGACTTAGCAGTCTGACAGCTGGTTGGGAAACAGGCCAAGCTATGCCAGTAGCCATGCTGCTGTGTGTGAAGCAGAATTGGGAAGGTGTGTGTCAGGATGGTTTTAAAACAGGAGAAGCTAGAGCTTCCCTCTTGCTTCCCAGAAGGAAGGTGGGGAAATCTAAGCTTCCCGTCCTGTTATTTAAGTGGGAAAAAAAAAATCTCAGGTTTGCTGTCACCATCAATTTCTCCAAGATTAGCCTGCAGCCGTAATTCAAGCAGTAGATGTTAATACTGGCTCCCTGATGCTGGATGTGGATGCCTTGTGAATGCTTGTCTTGGCAAGCTACAGTGGCGATGTCTGGAGGTGCCTCGTTTGATGGGATCAGTGAGGTTGCTTTCACCTTGGTCTGTCTGTTAAGCCCAAGGAAGCAGCAGCATACTCTGTGTCAGGAGTCCCTTGTG